TCGAACAGTGAAGCATTCAAAGAAATGTACTAAAAAGTGTGATGCACGTGCAGAGCTGTTGTTTTGCTCATAAAGCCAATTGATTTTAGACGTTCTCGTCGCTGTTGTCGTCATGGCTGCTGAAGCTCTCTAATCTGATTCCCAAACGGTCACAAAGGTCACGCGATCAAGATCCCTTATCGCCTTGGACACCTTACTATCAGTCTACCTTCTCAGTTACATAAAAAAAGACAAGCAGAAAAAAAAACATTGCTAAACGTCAGTAACATTGAGTCGAGAAATAACATGGAGGAGGAAAGATGAGGCCTTTAGACCCACAAAATGGAGTTTTAAAGTAATAGCTCAGCCTCCAAACCTCCCCTCCTCCCCTACCCTCGACTGCAAAACTCCCACTAAACCCACCCCTGATATCGACGCAATAGACCTAATCAGCTAACTCAATATTGTACCCAATTTAAACCCTTTGGGAATAAAACACTAAACCTCAGCCTAAAAATACTTGTCATCAAATTGTCAGCGAAACTGTCTGGATTGTCAATTAGACTTGCAAGGTGGATTAAAGCATTTTTATTAAGAGTTATTTAAGTCTTTTGTTAGTCACGTGACCTGTTTTTCTTTATCTCATAATCCTTGTTCCACTTAGGCATACATGCAGGGCTATTTCGTATTAGTAAAATCCAACTAGTGGTTGCAACTAATGCTGCGTTCGGATTGGTTGAGCTACTACTAGGCTATATGTTATAGCCCACTAGTAGCGAAAAGCGCCGGCTTTGAAAACCAAAACAGTGGCGGCTGAATCGCGTTTTGCTAGCTAAAGTTGTTTTGTATCGATATTTGTGACCAACTAGTTAGATTTTACTAAAACAACTATTCCTCTCGCCCTCATGGCCTATTGACTCAGAGCCCATTCGGGCTCGAGGAATAGTTGTTAAATATCCAGGCCTTGGGAAAAACAGTAGTGCCTAAGAAGATGTACTGCTCTTTACTTTCCTTACCCCCGTTTCAATTTGAACACTTTGAACGTTAACGATCATTTACAGGTCACGTGACTAGTATTTCAACAATAAATATGTCACATATTGTTAAGGCCACCGAGCTAAAAGTGTTTGCCAACTTTCATGACGACTGATCAAAACAATCCGTTTCAAATGCCACTACGCCAAATTATGCAAATTATGAGGTGACCCATGCCTTAAAACATGCCTGAGGAGTATCGACCGGAGATTGCACCGTAACGCTGAGGAAAAAACTAGGCAATAAAATGAATAAAGGAAAGCGAAAAAATACATAAGAAAAACGACTAAATAAATATTAGTTACTGTTACTGTTACTGTTCAAGACTGAGTACAAATGCCTTACCATGGTTTTTTCTCGTTTGAATGTGGTCATTCCCTTTGTTTGTATTTCATCTGATCCACGCTCCTCAATATGTAAGTCTTCATAACGAAGTTTCCAGGACTTGTTCTGCGCCAGATCAGTCTCGTAACGAAGTTTCCTACAAAATAAACATTTGATCTATCTTTTAACTATTTTCCAGGTTTTTCCTTTCAGAGACGTCTCACAGGTTTGTATTTAGTCTTGATAATCCTGCGTCAGATTAATTCTCACCTAATTTGTCCTCAAAGTGAGATCTCGGAGGGCTGGAGGAAAATAAATGCATTCTCTAAGAACGCAGAGGCTGCTAACGAGGAAAAACGCTTTATTCTATCACCCAAATTTCCCTTTTCTTAGCTTTTCTTGTCCCTGCTACCTGTTTCCTGAAAAGTTTCGACAATTTCTCGGGCCCACGAGTCAGACATTTTGTATGGGACTTTAGATTTGCGAGTCCGAGTCCTCTTATTGTGGTTTAGAACTTGGCACTTGGCAGTGCATAGTAAGTGAATTATGAGAAACAATATTCCTGAGAGGATTTTGAAGTAATTTGTTTAATTTTTTATAAGGTCCAGGTAAAAATATCTCACAACTGGTGCTTAAAGGGGCTGTGTTACGAAATTTGGCCAAATACAAACGTTACTGACTGGTCAGCAAATAACTCAATAAACTAACCACTGAACACAGACAGATTGCTATGAATTTATCATTTAAAAGTAGGATTAATTTTCTCGCTCAGGCTGTTATGGATCGATACTAAACGACATCGACCAAACGACCTTAAAAATGTCCTTTGATTTTTTTGGTGAAAGCCACGTTACCTGATTATAAGGAAGAACATGAAGGCTAACACTACCACACCAGCAGTGGACGCTCCAATCACCACATTCACCAACTGTTGAGTAGCTAAAAAAAAAACAACATGATAATTTAACAGCTCGAGTTTAAAGTAAACACGAAGAGCAAAAAGATATACTTAGCAAATCAATATATATTTTTTTCTGATTGCAAGTTGCTGTTTGTCTTTAAGTATGTAAAGTTGACTTTAAATCAAATCTTTAAATCAAATGAAAACGCCTCAGACGTTTGACCACGGCTTCAGTGAAAACTATATTTAAGGGTAATACGTTGTCGAACCGCCGCAGTCCCACTCTCTACAGATATACACAGAATGCACCCCAAGAAATAGACAATAAAGACAACTTTTTCTTGTACATTTTTCCCAAAAACTTACCTTGTCTTTCTTGTTCTAAGCACAGTTCGTTCTCCCATCCGCACCTAGGTTTGTCTAAAGGCGGCTCGGTACGTCCTCCTGCCCAAATAACTGTTACATCTGTCAAGTAATAATAGCATTTATTCTGAAACCATGCGCCACTATTATACATTTTTTGACAATAATTATTTTTATTTTTTATTATTATTATTATTATTATTATTATTATTATTATTATTATTATTATTATTATCACTATCATCATTATCATTGTTATTATTACTATTGATTCTTAAAAACAATCACATATAATCATTGCTATTTAGACCATCTGAAAACTTAGCACTTTCCTATTAGACTGATTTTACTTGACCTGTGAAACAGATACTAACATTTAGTGAAAAATAGCAACAGATTAACAAGAGAAAAAAATGGAATTAGTGCATAATAGTGCCTTGTATTTCATGGATTAATTAAAATCACTCTAATGAATTTTTTTTTATTTGCCAGGCATTTGGACCACTGGGTCTTAAACCAAAGGTATTTTTAATGTAGTTTTCTAGCTTGCATGTTTCCTTCCCTCAGTTAGACCTGTTTAACAACGTATGCACCAATAGTTATGCCCTTAATAGGCGAGGTAAAGTGCTAATAACCTTACATTGGGGAAATTCCGCAAAAGCTAGTAGACTTACCTCAAGTCGACCTCACGAGTTTCTAAGGGAGCGGAGCGAGCATTTTAGGTTGTGGAACAGCCCAGCGCGCTACGAAGTCGCAAGAGATCGACCTTCGTCCTTCGTCATATTAAATCAGACGAAGGAGACTTTGTTGAAAGTTTACAAAAGCTACAACACAAAGATTATTCACCTCTCAGATTAAAGCCACCAGTAGAATGATTATAGTCAGCAATGTTTTGAAAGCTTCCATTCAGGTAGTATTTAAGAGAGTAATCTGGGTCCCGGTCACCTGATTCGTCAATCCGCACTCTGCCCGAAGCACCTTTAACATAATAGTAACCAACGGAAAATCTTAGTCCTGACATGTGTTGTTGGGAATATCACCTTAATGAAAATTTCCTCGAAAAACAGAAACCACTGTTTTTAAATTATTCGTTATGAGATAACAATATATTGTTAAATGTTTTTTAAACGTCAGATGTCACGCTATGTACTCAGGCTGCCTGTCTTTTTCCATACAATCCATTTTCACAATTTTTCGGTCTGCGATTGTCACGCCAATCTCCAATCTCGTACCTCGAGTTTTCGTCTCTTACTGCGCATGCTGGCTTGACGAACCCGACCGCTGGTGAAGGGGAACGAGGACGCCAGGTGCGAAGGTGTTGTCACGCTAACAAGAGTGACTTGCTTGAACGGACAATAGGATTACAAGTATATATAATGATTTCCAGTATCAGTGTCAGTCTTCATGCAATGAATAACCAATTAAATTACTAAAACTAAAAATACTCCAGAAAGCTGTAATCCAATTGATATAAGACATATAACCTTCAGAACCTTACAAGAGATTTAGCCCCAGCATTTGCAGCTAAGACGTCTGGAAAAGTTTGGGGAACCAGTATGAGTCATGATTTGTTAATGGTTGCCAATGCATACCATTGATCCATCAAGAAATCCCAGAAATCATGGGAATTCTTCTACCCTGAATCCGTGACTTTGTGAAATGTTATATTGAAACAAACCGTCAAATTCTTTGTTAAGCATTCTCTGTACTATTGCTCTTCCATCCTTTTTGCTTCCACCAGCGGCCAGAGTTTCATTGAGCGCGATGGCATACAGGTAAATTGCATCATATATAGCTCCAGCGTACACCTCAACCTGGAATGGAAACAGGAAACCCTTTTGAGAGCAACAACAACAACAACGAGCTTTATTTGCATCACCATACAAGCACATACAGTATTGCAAAAACTATGTTTTGGAATCAAAATTACAACACGGCGAATACGTTACTTTGATAATAATTTGTCCGCATGAACATCAAAACAAGCTGAAATATATTTTATGAATTGTATATTGATAAAGTTTATTAGAAGAGTTCAGTTCATTGATCAAACCGTAGAGTGGTCAAGCAACACTGCGGCAAATAGCTGCGGCTGTTTGCCATCTGTAGTAATTATCGCGTCTTGTGCTTTCGCTTTAACAGTGTTAGCATACAGCTGCTTGAAATTCTTTCAATTGCAAAAGGAAACGAAACAGTGTTATATTGGGTACGAGCCCAAATGATAAAACGACAGAGAAAAAACCTCTTCACGTTTAAAACGGCAGACATGGAAAATGGCGCGGGAAATTTGACCACGTGTTCATCTGTTCAGCTGTCTCCGTCAATAGTCATTGGCCATTTAACATGAGGAGACTAGCTCGTTACTGTGTCGAATTGTATTATGGGAATATTTTGAAAACGCTACCGCTTCTTTTTTTGGCTATTACTTGATTACAAAGGAAACTGGATCCAAAAGTCCCACAATGCATTTCGACTGAATACCGACCCAGTCTAACCGCGCAATCTTAAAAAGCCAAGAGGACATTTCCAAGCTCTAAGACTCTCACTTTCATAACGAGGCCAGATTTAAAACCTTTCTGGGTGAAAATGAGTCTTATTTACACGAGAATAAAAATTCATTTTCATACCAATGGCATTGCACTTAGTCTCGCTTTGAAACAGAGGCTTTGGCCAACCCTGTAACCCTGTCCAATAGGAAGAGTCATAGTCGTTCCATTGTCCAAAACTCGTATTAGAGGGAACAGGATAGTGTTTGATGTACGTACAGCTCGGTGTGGTTGAACGGTGATATATTACCTGTTCACTGGCGTCTAACTGAATCTGAAATGGCGGAGCATTCATCTTGTCTTTCACATCTTCCTTGAATGACCTCCAGAGTTCTGTGGTTGGTTCCCTAACGTAAATACTCAAGATTCCTCTAAACGCCAGCGCAGCTTCTGCGTCTCTACCGTCGTTTCCCATGAACGTGTTATTTCCAATAGCGGCAGACGGAAGTAGATTGACAGTCAGAAACGCGTAGTCCCCATTGAGCATGCCCAAGTCGTGAGCGACCAGCATCAAAGCGCGCATGTCTCCTCCGTAACAAAGCATCACAAAGACTACAGGGAAATGACCACACATCGTGTGAATAAGTGTAAAATGGGAGTCACTGTAAATCATTTAAGTTTTCCTACAACTAAAACGTGAGAGATTGTTTTCTTCATTTTCTAATGATTAATTTATAAAAGTTTATCTTTTTATCCTCGTTATTCTTGTCTTTCCTCCCTCCCCTGCCCATTTCTTGTCAGCTCCATCAATCTTTTGCCCTAACCACTCTAAAGAATTGCTTCGGAGAGGACCATTAATTTGACTGAAAGTGATGTAAATTATTAAGACTACGTGAAATTAATCTAAACATCTAAAGCATTATCTAGTTGTATCGCTTACTGCGTGCTGTCTCTTTCGCTAGGGCCAGCATACTTTTATATTCCTCCCGTTCCGTAACCAGCACATGCCCTGGATTGAGTGTGTGAAGGTAGCGAATTTCTATGTCGTTCTCCAAAAACACTTTCATCAGACCAGACATAGCTAACTGCCAGATGCTCTCTGTTGATGCAATAATACCGATACTCTTCCAACGAAAGTAGCCAAGCACGGACATAAAGAGATCCCCCATTTTGGAGAACGAGCCGACCGTTCTGGCAAACGTCTGGTAAATACTTTTTTCGGATAGCTTGCTCGATTCACAGCCCCAAGAAATCATGGGCAGATTCCAGGACGCTGCTAAAATCGCGGCAGGCTCGCAAATAATGTCGCAACCATCACCAATAATGGCGTCCACGCCAGAGATTCTGAATTCGACGGCTTGGTTAAGTCCTTCTGCGGCCAAACACATAGAATCATTCCACAAGAAAGTCATGTTGTAGCCGAGTAGAAGTGTGGGATCATTGTTGATTTTGTCCACTGCGATGGTAATGGCAGACGCAGAAGTTTTACCAATCGGCCAGTAACCAGTCATTGGCAGCAAAACACCAATTTTAACTCCCTTCACATCTTCGCCTGTGTCGTCCCAATTTGAACAAGCCGATAAAACGAACAGTAAACTCAGGCTAAATATTTCGGAAAAGCGGAACATCATTCTGACTTTCCACACTGACGTGAAATTCCTAATTCTTGTACTGAAACATTTCATTCAGTTTGTAAAAAATACAGCCATACTCTGAAAATGCCCTCAAACACTAAATGATAATTAAGCATTATGAAACGTGATTAAGCTATCTGTTTCTTTTGACGTCAAGTTTTGTACACGCCCTGACTGCGTAACGATAAGGTTTCAGCTTTCTGCAAACTTCAAAAGAAGGCCTCGGCTGTTCTTAGCCAATCGGATGGCTGCGGCAAAAATGACTCATTTGCTTTCAGTCAAAGCCGAATAAACATCTGAATTTTTTAGTGGCGAGGAGAGTTAAGGACGCATCCATCACCTTGCATTTTCGAAACATTGTAGCCTGCGTGGCAGTGGAGGGAACAGTAGGGGGAGAAAAGTGTTCCTTTCCTTTCCCTGTCGACGCCTGCCATGCATTCTATGATATTGCGGAACAAATATCAGACTGAAAAGTCATTTTGGGGGTAAAAAAGCGACACTAGCATGAAATTAAAACAACCTTAAGAGCTTGAACAGCCTAGAGACGGCGGTATCATGGCCGAGTTGTTCAGAGCTGGTTTTTCATGCAAGCATTATTGCGGAGAGAGAGAGGGAAGGGTAGAATCTGTCATTTCAAAGCACACAACGTTCAAGGCGGGTCTCAATGGGGTTAACCGATAGGCGTAAAACGGCCAAAAATTTAGTCGATAGCCGTAAAAATTGAAATATTTTAACCGTTAGCCGTAAATAGGGTAAAAAAGAGTTAACCGTAAAAGAAATTGTTCCCTAGATTTGCTACTTTTAATGCAAGTACTAAACTCACTTATGGTCACGTTTTTATTTCCGGTTAGTGTGACTCCGTACGCACGTTAGACGAAGCGCCTTTTACCTGTTAACCAAGAACTACGCTTCATTTCCGGCGCTCTCTCGAGGAACTATTTTTTTCCATAGCGAAAGTGTGGCTTCTTGTTGGGGATTAATATTTGCAATTTTCAGGAGGTCGTACACTCGAAACACTAGTGAAACAACACGCAGAAATGTCACTGTTTGTAAAACACGTTGGGGATAAACAACATTTCCCTGTTTTTCTCTGACGCTACGGTAGACATTATGCCTAGTCCCTGTATGGCGTCTTCCCATGCAATCTCGTTCAAGGCATTTCGATGGCGAACTCGCTCGGACCACGTGACCCGAAACGCATTAGCCGGGCGGAATAATGCGACCTAGGGGCAAGGCAACGGCAGACAATCGTTCCGTACTGTCCCTCGCTATCATTAAAAATACTGGACACGGGAATTTTGTTATTGGCCGTTTTCACACTAGAGCTAGAAATGGATCATCCGTCTGAGACTAGCCTGTGTACAGTCGCGCCCTCCCCACAGACACCCCTTCTCCCATTTTTTTCTAGGGAGGGGGCGGCTGTACACAGGCTATATGGAACGGATAATCCCGATTTTCAAATTGAGCCGTATTACCTATCTGATGCGAATCATCAAACGGATAACTCGTCTCACACGATTAATCCCTCTCTAGTGTGAAAACGGCCATTTCTGTTATAATGAATGTCGCGCCCCGGCCTTGAGTTGGGCGTTCGCGTGTCTGCTTTTGCTTTTTCACAAAGATTATTTTTAAATTGACTATTGACATTTCTATGTGTTTAATATTTAACTTTTTGAAACAAAAGAAGTTAATTTTTAACTTTTTCGTTAACCGTAACTGAAAAAAATTAACCGATAGCCGTAAAAGAGCCAAAATTTTAGCCGATAACCGTAAAAGCCACCACCCCATGGAGACCCTCTTCAAGTAGCGGGATTGGTCAAACAAGGTGCTTTGCATTGCAAAAGAGACGATTTTTTTTTTAATCAAACTGCAAAGGTAGCAGAAGAGTAACGTTAAAAATAATTTTATGTCTAAAAAGCGACGAAAAAAACTGAAATAATAAGCTTTTAAAGGAAAAATACTACAATTCTAAGGACAGGGTCAGACAAACGTGGTCAAACTTCATAGTCGGACGACCTAATGCTAATGACCGAGAACAATCGATTATATAAGCATTAGGTTTCTCCAGTCCGCTGACCCGAGTTAAACTTCAAGATTACCAAAATGCTAAAATTCGCCTTTTGCCGTTGTTTACACCTGATTTGGCATTTTGAGGGGAGATTTGGTTGCTTGCTCGAAGGTGGATTTTTCAAGAAAATTTGCTCTCAACCCATTCACTCTTGGAAATCTTGCCAAAAACCGTTACTCCCCGAAGCTAATCGCGCCGTTTTCGACCAAAACGAACCAAAACTGCCCAAAACGCCGTTTATAAGTCAAGCACTACGCGAATCTCTCTTAGCCATGCTCAGCAAGCAATGTTAAAACAGAGTTTCAAAAGTGACAACAGTTTCGACCACGTACTACTACTTTTCTCACCGAAACTAAGGAGGGTGGGGAGGAAAGAAAGCGGCTTTATCTCCTCCCCTCCTTCTTAGTTTTGGTGAGAAACGTTTTTTCGGGAAACCCCTTTAAGATAGTTTCGATCGTAAGATTAGATGGAAACAAGAGCCATTTATAGCTCGTGATGGAAAGAAAGGGCAGGTGGGTTGGGTGACACAGATTTTCATAAGATTTCACAGGATTTTTCCGAGTGAATTGTCTCATGACTCTCATGGTTTGAAAACTCTTAAAGGTCCTCAAAACTGATGATGTCACAAACGATACAAGCACGGGTGGTTACGGACGGGTCAGGGGTGAATGGGTTAAAATCTGACGCTTGAAAGACTATCGCTAAAAACGAGGAAAACATCGTGGGTAATAAGCCTTAACACATACCATCTGTGTTGTTGCTATCGAAATTAGAGCATCAATCTATGGTACAATGTAGAGAAGAAATGCAGATGACCATTACGTTGGTTCCAAACAACGGCTTTGACTGTTAAAGTTTGGCACGTGGTTCGTGTACGACGAGCTGACTGTTTGAAACGAACGAGTTACCAGAGACAATAGACAAGAGATCCCGCAAAATGATATGGTATACAGCTGGGAAGGGTTAAAAAAAACCCACAACGCAGTTGGCATTTCGTTTGAACTTTTACTGAAAAATGTACATTCAAATCTATATTTTGGAGAAAACTAGGAACTCGGTAGTATTTGTATCTCTTCTGATCTCTTCTATCTATGCATGTACCATAGATCGACGTGTAGATTTCAAGGCAACAGACACAAGAGCGGGGGTTGGTGTGCCTGCGATCGTTTGATCACGCGTGATCTCCGAAGCAGGCACGTGCAGCGCAGTAATACACACAGTATTAAAATCATTTTCATTACAGAGTATTCTCCATTTTTCGTTCAACATAGCTACCTTGACGGTAGGAAAAAGCGAGGCTGACCGAGTTTTAGATAAGACCAAGTTTGACAAATCAGTTTTCAGAATATTTCGTCAAGCATGGCTTAATTTCTTCCGGGAAGAAAAAGCGAATATTCTACAAGCTGACTGTCAACCCTTAATTTTCCTTGCTCAGCGGAAATATTCTGACCAGATCCATCAACTGAAGGACGCACGTCTTGCAGCTGAAACAAAATTCCTTTAAGTGGTAGAAAAAAAAACACGTTAACTACTCGCAGAACTTCAGGATTGTCGAGGAAAAAAACTGGTGAGATAAGAGCTACAGCCAATGGCTAGTGTAGGTCGTCTACAAGCAGTGTGTACATAAATTCAATTTCTGTTATAAATTTAATTTCTCATCAAAATTTCAATTTTTAACAATTTACAGTCTCCATTCTCTCCGTCTCTCCCTATGTGTATCGTTCCTTCTCGTTTTCTCGCCTTTAAATCCGTACACTAATAAAACAACAATCTAGGACGTTTCTGCTGCTTGAGATGTCTGGTGTATAAACACGTTCTTACCAGCGACAACCAGACTCACGTGTTCAACCCACGTGTGTTACGTAATTGCAAGACTCACACGCTATCTCGCGTGCACAGGTTGGCCCGAACACGCGAATGTTCTTTGCGTTTCTCAATGCTATGTACAAGTAATTTATTTTATCTAATATTTGTTGCAACAATAACTCCCAAAAGTCATAAGAAATAAAGCTACGATCAAACAAAATTCGAAGTATAAACGAAGTCATGCCAGTGGTCTAATATCGCGGCATGCAACTTGATCCATCGACGATTTGGGTTTGTAGCCACTTTCTTTTATGTTCATTTAAGTATCACCCCATCAAAACACAACATATTCTGGAATATTAACTGGAATTCCCTTTATCGCTTAACAACTGAACTAGGTAGTTCGTAAGTGCACAATCGTCCAGAATTTCCTGGGTTTGTTCAGGACTGTACAGAGGCAAAACATTGCTCTTCGTGTCCATATCACGCAATTTTCTGTCCATCTCTATCACTTGCAAAACACTTGATGTCAACGGAATCTTTTTTTTCTTCGATTGATTAAACCCTGGCTGTTCCATTTGATGGCTGAACCATTTAACAGTATTTACATCGTCCAGGTTAACATTCGCTTCGGCTTTTAGCCTTCCAAACGGTGTTATTCGTTCCGTTTCTTGCAAAACTTGAATGAATTCATCAATATCCATGTACTTTGTCAAATCAAGATCTTGGTTCGATCGATTTAGTTCATTCGCCGAGATTCCTTCTCCATTTGGGTAAAATGTCGAAAACTTTTCCATTACAGATGTATAATGGCACGCCATGTCGACAATTCCCTTAAATCGGCCGCACTTGCAAAATTCACCGACCGCCGACGAAACCACAAAGCGTATTTCGTCCAGCTGTAAACAAATCGACCTCTTATATAACATATGGTGACGTGCGTGTTATGACATTCAGTCATTTGCATGAAAAAAAACGCATGGAAGTAGAACTAGAAACGACCAGAAGGGATGATTAGAATCAGACAAAGTTTTTTAATACAATGCCTAACTTTTCAAATACATTCTTTTTTATTATCAGGATTATAAAATGACTCATAATTTGATGAAAAATCTTCAAAATATAAGAAACACTTTTTCTTTTTTGTGCGGCATATCCAAGGGGATACTCCAGGAAAACAAATTTGGTTGGCTTCCTGAAAACGTGATTTCCTCACCATATTTCAGACACAAATCGTTGTTCGCAAGAGTATAGACTAGATATCCTCGATTCCTCTCCCCGATTCCACAAACGTGGACATATCATGCTTTCGATCCTTTACCGAGCAAAAACACGCCCTTACTTATCATCCTGGCAACGAAGCAACCAAGCCCCTGATTTTTGCCTGCTCTATTAAGCAGTTGGCCATGGGTTTTCACTCTTCTCAACAAACTCCACGCTGTCCTATTTATTATACAGACACGAGTGTTTTACCCGAAAATAAACCACTTGTAAAATTAATAAAAACTACATCCGAGACCCAAGTGGTTTATTTTCCATAATCTGACACGTGAGTTTATCGTCTAGTCTTATTTGAAACTTTATAACGCAAGGACATCTGTGAGCAGGGAAAAAATCAGCACAGAATTTGATTGTCGGCGAATTCATGTAATTGTCCATCAATCTGCTGGTGATAAGCTAGCCGTTGTTCACTCGTCTTCCTTGTTTGGGACTGAGTCTTTTTCCGGTCAAAGAGAGACAAAGAGTGTCTGGCAAGGTTTCCAATATAAATCAAAGATTTGTGAATTCGTGTCTGGCAAACCTTCAAGTGTTTATATATACACAGTTAAACGCACCTTATAACCTCATCTGTGCTTAACGAATGTCTTTTGGCCCATAACTTTCAAAACAACTGCTCCACAGAATGTCACTGCATAACGCAGAAGACTATCGAAGTACTCGGACTGCACAATAACTGTCACAAAATCTACCTGAGCGGTCCCTTCGCAATTTTCTGTCTTTACGTCATCCTAACCATTTCGTACTTGCGGGCGCAAACAGTAGAAACGTCATCATTACCTACCGATTCCTCGCGGCCCCTGTTCGAGCAAATCGAGATTTTTTCTAGTATACCGACTGTATATTTGGACTGTAAGTACGTACTGTCCTTAATATACTGGTACGCGCGAGTTACTAGGGTGCCTCCTCGGGATTTCGCCTCTGGGCGAAATCCCTGCGGGGGCAACAATAAAAAGAACATTACACAGCGGCTTGAAGATATGAATTTTATTTTCTCGTGGCAAAAACAATACGAGCGCAGTGAGTGAGTGAAATATTGTTTTGCCACTCGAAATAAAATTCATATCTTCGCGCCACCGTGTAATATCCTCTATTTAAATCACGGAAAACCCCGCGGATCGGAGCCGACATCACCCTCATTCAATTGACTTCTCACGATATACCTCGGGCGATATCCCCAAATGGAGAGCTAACCTGGGACCAGCCTTCACCGTGGGGAAAAAAATGCCAACAAATGGAGTGAACAGTATATAAACGAATCGGCAAGCGAAGCAAGCTGAGTGGCCACTCTTCACCCTCGCTTCGCTCGCCAATTTTTTTTTCGCCTTTCTCCGTAGTCTGCTACACAGTTGGTTTTAGTGTCGTCACGTAACGTTCCTCCCCACAAACGGCCGTGTAGCAGACTACTTCCTCCCCAGCTGCGTAGTCTGATCCCAGCCTAATGGAGAGCTTGCTTGCAGGTTTTAAACCAAGTGTCTCGTGTGGTTAAACGAGGTTTTACTTTTAATGTGTATAAAATACGCCTGGTGGGCGTGGCAAGCGTGGCGACGCCTGTGTTCGCGTGCTCCCGGGACTCCCCTTAAAGTAATTCAATTCCTCCTATCTTTCCCGAAAATACATTGTACATTGTAATCATAATGCGACTTTTGCATGTTTTGTAAATAAATGATTGAAAGGAAAAATTCAGACCTTACGGGCAAACAGTTCTAGGCCATCATTATTCACGACTGTCACTTTTTTGTTTTTTGGAAAATCGGCTTCGTGTTCTACCCTGCGTGCCAAAGACTTTTCACACGCTGCCTCCGGACATTTCCGTGAAGTCTTAATACTGACCACCGCGAAAAGTGTTTGTCGCGGCGACTCGTGACGGCCGAAGATCTGTCGGCCTATGGCGAACACCGAAGCATCCAGCCGCACGCGAGAAAAAGACTTCCGGTACCCAGGGTATTTTTGTTCTCACTGACTGGATCTCGAGATAAAGATAATAAATGCCCAAAGATATTTCATAAGCTCAGGGAACAGGGTCCTAGATAAAAAAAAGTTTTCTTAAAATTCAGCTTAACCCTGAGTTAAACTTACAGTGGATTCCCGATTTTTCGAACCACCTCTGGACACGGCACATTATCAGCAAGTTTGAAAAATCCGGGGGTTAAATTACAGTGGTTGAAGGAATGTATCAAGCATGAGATGCAGTGTTTAATCACCAGATAAAACACTGAGAAGAGATTTGAAAACCACCTCCAAAGCCAGGGAAAAGCGCCCTGGGCACGAGGTTGGACGCGCGGCGGAGTGTTTTAGACCAACTTCGAGGTGTTTCATCTGGTGATGAAACACTGTGTCGAGGCTTGATATTACTTCTCAAACAAAATGATTTGTATGTGTAATCAAATGGTGATGGGTGAAATTAGGGAATAATTTCACGCGCGTTTTGTCCAAATCGTAATAATTTCTCGAGCCTTTAGGCGAGGGAAATTATTAGGATTTGGACAAAACGCAAGTGAAATTATTCTCTAATTTCACGAGTACCCCATTTGATTACCTATTAATATCATGGGTGACGAATTACGTTAGCAATCTTGGATTTTTGACATGTAACTTTGGCTTATAAAAATCACACTTTTTCGGCAAAATACCTGTTAGAATCCTTCTTGATGTTCTCTTGTGTGTTCAGGTTTTCTAAAGCGTCTTTTTGTGCCCTGACATCTTCATTCACGGCGTTTTAAACTTCGTCGCCATCTTGACATTGAGACGTACGGAAGGGTTGCCATGGCAATTTTGTAATTTCACATGTGAAATTACAAATTAACGCTGAAATTTCGCGCCAAAATTAAGGAGTAATTCGTCGCCTATGATATTATAGGAGAAATTAAAGTTGCAAAAATGGGCAGTTTTTCATTTGATTTCCTAACACTCATTAAACATTAATTTCCTTTGAATTGTATTTACGAATTATTAATGAGTTTGAGAATAGTGAAGGAAAGCTATGGGTTTGGTTCGAATGATCGGGAATTTCGAAAAACCGTAGGTTCGAAGAGAAATCAGGATTTCACCAGCTATAGCCAGCGAAGCCGACCCTGTCCGGTAATTGGTGGAGGCACCTCCGGATCGCGTCTAAAGAATTTTCGTCGTTGGAGTGTTTCAGGGTCTCAGACTAGTCTTTTATCTCATCAAGCATATGCCGGCCCCAAGATTTCAGACATTGCAGGAGTAATAACCATGCATCCACCTGACTTCTTCAGATTCGCAATAGCACCACAGGGCACCCACACAATCTGGGTGTGTAACTGATTTACCGTTTGCCTAGTCTGCTACACAGCCGTTTTTAGTGTCGTCACGCAACGCTCCTCCCCACTAACGGCTGTGTAGCAGACTACCGTTTGCCTCGCCCATAGAGATATATCGCTAAGTATATAAAGCAGTGTTAAATTAAACTCGAATTACCTTACCTGTAGTAAATTGTCGTCCTTTTGCCTCAAAAGCGGTTTTTTGAGCGATTTTAAAGGATTTTGAGCTATTAGGAACAGTAAATGGCGAACTCAAAATCCTTCAAAATCGCTCAAAAAACCGCTTTTGAGGCAAAAGGACGACTATATACCACAGGTAAGGTAATTCAACGTTTATTAAACATTGATCTATATACAGACTTAACGATGATCGCTATGGGTGAGGCAAACGGTAAATCCCGTACATTTACTGTAAAATAACATCGGTTGCACACACAGATTGTGTTGCCCCTCTGTGATAGCACAAGCGGAATCTGGAGGCTCCAGCAAGTCTCGTCAAAGTGGGCACGTGCTCTTGTTGTTACAGATAAGGTGGGTGGGGAGAGAGGAGTCGCTTTCTGCCGTGACCGCCAACTTGCTAAATTCCTCTTTCCGTTGATCACCGTCAACAAGAATCTCGACCCTGCCGGCTGTGTTTGATCTTGAGTGTTAACAATAACAGCTTTTTTCGGGCCGGTTAATTATCGGAACAGGCCACTAGTGCGAGTGCAACTGTACTAGTGTTACGATTAAGGCTAGTTTTCGAGGTACAGGATGTTTGGTCACACCTGCTCACCTGCCAATTAAGCCCCTTTGTCTCCACGCAAGCGAGCCACTGCCGCCAAAATTCGCGCCTTAGCTAGTATTCCGTGCGCGCAGACTGGCTTCGATGCAGTGAGGTGTCTGTATTCCAATCATGATCTTACACACTTCCATTTCTATAAGTCATGGACCACAGTAAAACTACAAAACTACAATATTTTTTATACATATATATTTGGAAATAGAGTTATTTTCCAAGCAATTCATAATTATTTTTTCCTCTGTATAAAAATAATTAATATTTGTCGCAACCTAAAGTTTGGCGTCGACAAAAAGCATATTTTTTCAATACAATATAATTACAAAATATTTTTAACACTATCTACGAAATATAAAAGAATTTCATTAACTTATCCAACGGCTGCGCCTCGTATATCCAACTTACACTGCCAATCATAAAAGATCTATTAAATAAATAATTAATTTAGTTCTTTTTTCGTTTGACCAAATATTCGTTTCAAATGGTTGTAGTTTTTTTTTTTGCTGTTGTCTTTCAAACAGCTCTTTGAGCCCTCAAACTCCAAGTGACACTGAGTCATGAGACATTTAATGCGCTTTCAGTCTTTGACTCTGAGCGAACTCCTAGAGTGTGACCATTCAAACTGAATGCAGAAAAAATTTTAAAATTAAAGCACATCGAAGAGAGAAAGACAGGGCTCATACACCATTTCAAAAAATACAATAATCGCGACATCATTTTTTAAAATTGCAGGTTTAGGTGGCGCAAACCATCTTGAAAGCGCCTTTTGTTTTCAACAGGAAGTCTGTAAGAACAGCGCACGATAAAGCTACCACCATCGGGGAAGAACCAATAGGACAATTACATGATGACGTCATTTTACTAAAACCACCAGAATGCTTCGAGAATTAAACTTCAAGGATTCTTTGCCCGGGAGAGGCTGAGGCCAACACGTTTTATGGCATTGTTTGAGGCAGCCTATAGAGTACTAAAGTGTGACGTCATAAAAATGAAATTTCTGAAATCATGGGATTTGTCAGGATATTCTGAAAGAACAATGTCTAAGAGGCCAACTTGCCAAAATTGAGCATTTGGGGACAAATTGTCTCTGAGAACGTAGCCCAGTTATGCTTACAAAACTCCATACAAACCCTTCTAAATTTTTTTGGGGTCGACCCAAAAAAAATTAGAAGGGTTTGTATGGAGTTTTCTGAGTGAGACAATTTGCCCCGAAATGCTCATTTTTGGCAAGTAGGCCTCTTGGACATTGATCTTTCAGAATATCCTGACAAATCCCATAATTTCAGAAATTTCATTTTTATGACGTCATCACTTTAGTACTCTATTCCACAGGCGGCCCAGCCTTAAAGTCTCTATAAGTACATACAAAAACGTTCTAAATTCCGCTTTTTTAAAAAAGTTTCGAAATAAAATTGACTCTCCTCTTGTTTGTTTTGTGTGTTTTACAGTCAGTTCGCTTTAAGAGCCATTTCGAAGTCTTTTTGACGAGTTTTAGACTTCGAGATGTACTCATGCATTCTCTTACAAAATTCAACTTCCAACGAACTCCTGGCCGCCTGTGCCTGTTCTAAGTCAAAATTGAAAATGTGTCATTTTATTCAAAGAGGACTCGGCTAAGAAAATTGGTCATGGCGTTCAAGCATAAAATTTTGTTTCGATTAATTTTTCTTAGGAGCTGGGGTGACATTTTGCGTAGCCTTCCCAAGTTGCACTTGCTTGGCCGCTGAACCAAACTGTAACGTGCTCAAGGTCTCGCTGAGATTGCTCGCAAGGGGACTGACATTGACGAACAAACAAGCCTTGCCATCACCCCCAAGGGAACTCTGCATCAGTTGCGTTAACTTGGAATTCCTGTAAGGCACGTGCATGGCATTTGTCCTCAGAGCCGCGAACACTTGGCCAAGTGCTGACAGCGATTTGTTAATAGCCGCGGCCTCGACCAGTCTTTGTCCCGTAGCCTCGGTTTTGGAGATTCTTTCCGAGCCTGCTAAGTCAACAAGGGTCAGCGTACCACGCGTGACGGCATTTGTCACGCGATCAGTGCCTTGGAGTTTCAGCAGCAGAAGCAGGTGAGAACGGGAACTGTTCGTGTTCATTTTTGTGGCACCAACGGAACGGTTCATGTCGCCTGAAAAAAAGCAAAAGAGCAAAGTTTAAGCCAGCCACAAAAAGCTTCCGATGGTTCCTCAGTTACTACTTGAGCCTTAAACCTACTCCCAGTTATTCCAAAAGGTGAATAAAGCTAATCACAATTAAAACGTAAGTAAAATAAAGGGCATGCGTGCGCGTGTGTTTTCTTCAGGTATGGAACTTACACACTTTTGATATATCAGTTAAAGTAGCTATGTCACGATTTTTAGCTATTAGTTGAAGAACCCTCAAAACGCATTGCAATCAAAGAAAACCCTTACAAAACGGTAAAGTTGTGTCTAAAATTCCGCTAATTCTACTACTATAACCTCAACATCAGTGTGCGTTATTGGGTTTCGATGGCCAGGCACGATGCCAACAGATTGCAACTTGAACTGAAAAACTAAACTTTTCATGTCAAACTTCTGTGTTATTAAAAAAAGACCAAAAACTGATCTTGCTTTTTTCCCCTTCTCTCGATAAGAATCATATGATATCCTTCCATTTTCACACTTTTTAACGCGACAGACTATGAGATGACTGAGAATACTTGGCTGTGATTACACCTCAGCTTTGAACAATGTCTTCCCTTCCCCAGATAAACTTGGTAATTTTTTTCCCCAATTTTCTCGAACTTCGAATACAAAGAACAATTTTCTTTCTGTGGCCAGAACGCTTGCAAAATAATCAGAAAGATCCCACATAACTCAAACGTTAAGGATATACAGTGGAACCTCGATATAACGAGCCTCTACTAATATGACAATAGGCTGATTTAGCAACAGGACGGGAACGTCAGTTGACAACGGCGCGCGCGAATCAAACAACTGGCTTGACCAATGGCAGAGCGGCAAATTAGGCACCGGAAGTCGTGTTTACGTTCCCGTCCTGTTGCTAAATCAGCCTAAAGTCCTCGGTATAACGAACGACATTCTTCGCCCCAGAAATAGCAGAATAAATATGAAAAAGAACTTCGATGTAACGAAACCTCGTTATAGCAAACAAATTTTGCCAGTCCTTTGGGCCTTCGTTTTATCGAGGTTCCACATACACTAACAGGCTGGTCAAATGAGAGTATTACCTTTCTGCATGATACTTTTAATGTCAGAAGCCGATTTAACAACAACCTCAGTAACATCNCAGAAAGATCCCACATAACTCAAACGTTAAGGATATACAGTGGAACCTCGATATAACGAGCCTCTACTAATATGACAATGGGCTGATTTAGCAACAGGACGGGAACGTCAGTTGACAACGGCGCGCGCGAATCAAACAACTGGCTTGACCAATGGCAGAGCGGCAAATTAGGCACCGGAAGTCGTGTTTACGTTCCCGTCCTGTTGCTAAATCAGCCTAAAGTCCTCGGTATAACGAACGACATTCTTCGCCCCAGAAATAGCAGAATAAATATGAAAAAGAACTTCGATGCAACGAAACCTCGTTATAGCAAACAAATTTTGCCAGTCCTTTGGGCCTTCGTTTTATCGAGGTTCCACATACACTAACAGGTTGGTCAAATGAGAGTATTACCTTTCTGCATGATACTTTTGATATCAGAAGCCGATTTAACAACAACCTCAGTAACATCAGTGATAACAAGCTGTTTGCTCCTCATGATAATGTTCAGTTGCTGTGAGCTGCTGTTGTCGCTCAACAAATCTCTCACCGTCTCATTGTACACCTCAACCATGGAAACGCACATCGAGTAATCCACATTTGTTCGCTCTTCGCAAACTCTCAGAAGTTCAAGAATGGATCGGATGTTTACACCCGGGTCTTGGTCTGTTCCCATCATCGTATATGTCTTCCCCGCCCCTGGAATAAAAATTGGAATCACGTTGCCTGCGAAGTTGAATCGAGTTCAACTTGACAGGCATGCCGGCGGTGAAGACCCGCATTGCTTCTTTTGGCCGGCAGCGGATGTTCTCATATATCGGAGCAGTATCGCGGTCAGTACTGACAGTTGAGTTTCTAACGCATTGATATAATAAGGAGAAATTTCATGCTGATCACTCTTAGAGCTTAAAGGGTTAATTGAGCTGTTTAGTATATTTTCTACTACGGTAAATTTTGTTCTTACCTTATTTAGGGATAGCTTCTATAAGCAAGGGATTACTTAACTGAAGTAACAACTTGCTCTCCTTAATTTCGTCTCACCCGAATAGTCCAATAACTGAATGATTTGTACTAAAATCTCGCTCAGTAACTGATTTTACTCAGTACAAAATACTCTGAGCGCTATGCCACTAATCGTGAAAAGAGGCGCATGGCATGACAGTGGCTTAGCTGGGCTTGGGGGCCAAGGAGAATAGGGGTACGGGAGGCGGAAAAGAAAAGAGCGGGAGGTTGGAGTTTTTAAAGGGGAGAATGGTTAGAAATAGAGGGAAAGTAAGCTTATCCAGCGCGTCCCCAGTGACGATCAGGCCCAGAAGGCATTGCTAAAGTTAACTCGGTCCAGTTTCCTATTCGTTGTTAAGGTGGCGAATAAGGGACGTAACCCCCGGGGTTGTGGTCTATCTCCCGTTGGGGGAGGAACTGCTACGGGCCCGCAGTAATTGGCGTCACGCGCTGTTGCGTAGCCTGCGAATAGAGCCGTTTCTCCCGAGGAGCAAGGAGAAACGGCTGTATTCGCAGGCTAGCTGTTGCGGCGACCATCCCAAGAATTGGCGACCTTAAGTAAACAGATCTATAACACGGACCCTAGAGAGCTAGCCTGCGTAGCAGGCGCTTGGAAGTAGTCGGTACAAGAAAAAACGGGAGCGCGAGAAGGAGACACGCGTGTCTCCCTCGCGCGCGCCCGTTCTCTCTTTCACGTACTGACAAGTTTATATTTAGCTTACCAGTCTGGCCATAGGCCATAATGCAGACATTGTACCCGTCAACGCATGACGTAATAAGTGGAAGAGTGTCTTGAAAAACTTCCTCCTGTGAGCTGGAAGGCGTGAATACTCTGTCAAATCTGAACGATTTTTTTTGTCCCGTAGCCGATGTTAAATTCAAGTCCTGATCCGTGGAGAATGTAAAGACACTTTCGCCTTTAGGGTCATAGCGACACCTACAGAAAACTCTTATATTGCCGCGTAATTCTTGTAGTTTATTGTAAAGAAGCTTTCTTTCCATGACCTCTTTATGATAAAGTGCGCGAAGCTCCATAACCTCCTTGCTCGATCCCTGGTCTAAGTTTTTCATTTTGCGCAGGGAGCTCTGCGCTTGATCTAGAACTGAAGCAATTCCATCCATTTCGCTGGTGAAGCAGTTTCTTATCTCAACTAGCATCTGAGAAAATATTCGAACTGTTGACGCAATGTTCCGACAAGTCTCTTTGTTAATGGTTGGTGCTTTGGGTGAAGGTACTACTTGTACCGCAGGTTGAGGGACCGGTGGCTCTGGCACTGATTTCAGCTGCTGTATCTCTCGTTGTAAATTCGTTCCTTTAATTTGAAGTTTCCTAACCATTTCTTCCGATGACTTCAGCTTAACTTTCAAGTCTTCATTCGCCAAACAGGATTCCCCCAGCTCCGTTTCTTTCTCACGAAGCTGTCCTTCGAGTTGTTCAATCCTCTCCTTCAACAATTCAACCTCTGCCGCGTGATCTTGCCCCGAGGAGGAGCGACTTTTTTGTTTAGTTCCTGGCCTTTTCTTCGCCATGTCCTCTGCCAGTAAAGTTATGTACGTATTAGTGACTTCGTCCAGATCATAGTTGCATTGCCTCAGCATCGCCAGGATTTCAAATTGATCGTCCCAGGCTGGAAATGCCTCTTGAATAGCAGTAACACGTGATCTGATGTCAGGAACATGAAGCTCCCACGACAGCGGCATCTTCAGCCACGTGCCCGATACGTTATCATACACGCTCAACACGTTGAGCTTGGTCTCTTCGAAGTAGGTATTCAACAATCCTGAAATAAAAGATAAAAATACAGTGTGCAGTCAACTCTCTTCCTCTGAAAACGGACAGCTACAATTAAGTTGGTCCTTGCTGTTCTTCCATCATTTCCTTTGATTCTCTATAGGACAGACACCACTTTAATGCCAACACCTAAAGTTCGCCCCCTTCGTTCTTGAGTTGTTTTCTTTGACTCTCTATAAGACAGAAACCACCTTAATAAAAAAAACTAAACTTGCCCTCCTTTGTTATTGAATTGTTTTCTTTAATTCTCTTTTAGGCAGACACTACCGTAAAATGGACACCTTCTTCAGTTATGTCTTTTTTTTCACTTTCTATGGACAATAGACACCAATGGTGTCTCTCTCTCAGACATACACCAATGGTATGCCCCTTGGAGCAAGTTGCTTATAAGGGTTTACCATGACGTTGATCCCTTAGAGTACTAAACTGCATACCACTCTAAATAACAAAGACACAGTACACATTACTATAAACCAGAATGAGCTCGTTTTTGCATACGTTTCTCATATAAATAACTGACAAGCAGAATAACCTCACCCAAGAAAATTGGTTAAAAGGTGCTAAACAACTAAACAAGAAACTGCCCAAGAGTCTAAAGAGGGTAGGGGCAGGGCGGCGATGAATGGTGTGAAAAGTTTTTATGAAAAACAGGCCCTTTGCACTCCTATGAAGCTTTCACCATTAGTACTTGCAGGAAAAAATATATGACTTTATCTTTAAGATAAAGCTGAAGAGAAACATTTGAACACTGTTTTGCAGTTTAGTCAACTGAATATCCCTGAGGTATAGTCGTGTTTCCGGTCTTTGCATCAGTACACTGTACAGGAACACTGCAAGGAGAACAAACGATTTGTAGAGGACTACAGTGTAGTAGCTAGCTATACAGTCATTGTGCACCTCTAATAGGATGTTCCATCATTCCCATACGGTCATCCTCCCATCTTGGAACCCATCCTTTGTCAGACCGCTGCCCATCATCATATGATCCCTCATCATATTCCACATAGTCTGCTGTCACAGGTTGCTGACTTTCTATGTAGCCATGTTGGTACCAATCTTCAGGAAATGGTTGTAATTCATCTCCTGTACATGAGATAGAAGGTAATAAGTGGAACTCATAAGGGAAGAAGAAAAGAAGGGACAACAAACGGACCACTCCTGCTTGACACACAGATTACTATTTGTAATAACCAAAGGGCTGGAAGTGCGCGCGAGTTTCAGGCTTCTGATCAAAGGTCAAAACACTCTGGCCCCAACACTGATGCTTTGCATACATGTTAGTTTAAAGTGATAGATGGCAAAACATATGTGATCAGATTACGAGTGAAAGAGGGTACAAACGAGCGTGATCAGGCTGGAAGACCTTAGATAACAATGACCTCAGCCAGGTTGTGTTGTCCAGCAGTTTTAGTGAAAGCAAGGGTTTGGCTGGGGTGCTCAGTCTCCTGGGATCCTGAAACCTGGTCTTAGTCATTCTTATTTAAGGATTTTCAACCAGATTGAATTCTATGTATGCATTTCACTCATTCTTAGTGGGAGTCCAAACAAATGCTGGCTACATATCTGCTAAGCATTCGTGATAGCAGCCCAGAGAATAGTGTTATGGGCTCCTCTGGTAACCGGCAATAAAGACTGAGACCAGTCCCTTTTCATTCAGTTGATTTTTTACTTGCTCAGAACATGCTTGTCCATGCTACAAGTTTAGCCTCTGCCTCTAAACTAAAGTACATCTTACTCACTACAAAATATAAGGTACAGTACCAATCAAAAGGTTGATAGCCACTAGCATCTCAATCTTTGAGACACAAAATTCAACTCTTGATTCTCAAAATTTTTAAAAATCAAGTCTCAAATCTCAAGGCTAGACTCATTAAACATTCATTTTACTACTAATGAGGAGAATTTGGTTAAAAATAAAAAAGTTCATCGTTTGTCAACATTTTCTCAATTCTTAAAGGACATTTGTGTTTCATAAAGCAGTGAGAAATGGCTACTTGCAAAGACCACTGTCTGATTATAACAAGCTGGTCAGTGTAAGGGCGTAAATGGCCAATTAACAGTGAACTAAAACTTAACGAAAGGAGAGAGAGGGCAGCCCATAATCACTTGGAGAAAGACTTCCTAGAAATAAGGCAGTGAGAGAGGGGGCTAATTTAGGGAAAGGGTAGGGGCACTTACTTCTATTCAAGGGGGGCCTCTCATTTCAGAGACTGCATCCTTCAGATGATTCATAACAACTAAGACAACTAAGGCACCATCCACATTAATCTGCATATTTTTTTAACACATATTTTTACCAAGATTTGTGTGGCTGGGGTCTTAAACAATTCATTCTGAAGTTTGGTTTCAAGAAGACGTGGTTTCGGTAAGGGAATTCACTGGTTTTGTGTGGAGGAAAGGCGAATTGATGGGAAAAAATATATATGGGTTTCAAAAATATCAGAATTCGTTAGGATGTGGCCTAAAACAATATGTTAACTAACAGTTGCTCCCTTGTTTCTTTTCAGTATTTTTCTAGAATAAGCCTGTGTCAGACAANAAATAAAAAAGTTCATCGTTTGTCAACATTTTCTCAATTCTTAAAGGACATTTGTGTTTCATAAAGCAGTGAGAAATGGCTACTTGCAAAGACCACTGTCTGATTATAACAAGCTGGTCAGTGTAAGGGCGTAAATGGCCAATTAACAGTGAACTAAAACTTAACGAAAGGAGAGAGAGGGCAGCCCATAATCACTTGGAGAAAGACTTCCTAGAAATAAGGCAGTGAGAGAGGGGGCTAATTTAGGGAAAGGGTAGGGGCACTTACTTCTATTCAAGGGGGGCCTCTCATTTCAGAGACTGCATCCTTCAGATGATTCATAACAACTAAGACAACTAAGGCCCCATCCACATTAATCTGCATATTTTTTTAACACATATTTTTACCAAGATTTGTGTGGCTGGGGTCTTAAACAATTCATTCTGAAGTTTGGTTTCAAGAAGACGTGGTTTCGGTAAGGGAATTCACTGGTTTTGTGTGGAGGAAAGGCGAATTGATGGGAAAAAATATATATGGGTTTCAAAAATATCAGAATTCGTTAGGATGTGGCCTAAAACAATATGTTAACTAACAGTTGCTCCCTTGTTTCTTTTCAGTATTTTTCTAGAATAAGCCTGTGTCAGACAAAGATGAGCACGTCTAAGTCATTATTTTTTCAAGCTCTTATTTCCATCTTCTAAGCAAATAAAAGCCGGATTAAGGTCTGGCTGGAAATTTTTTTCTGAAGGCTGGGTGTAGATGATCAAGTCAGGTAGAAGTTAAATTGTATGAAAACTATAGTTTACAAGGGGTTTTAAAATGTGTTATATGTTCACAAAAGTATGCACAGCTACACAAGAACGCAAGGTATGTCTCTACCTGCATCCCACGAATTGACAAGATATCTGACCCCATCCACGTTGATCACACTGTAATCCCTTCCTGTCTTTATACAGTGAAATACTTCGAATACTATTTCGTCTGAACTGGAATTTTTATTCCCATCTTGCCAGTTTCGATAACCTGTTTGACGTCCACCGCTTAATTGCCCGTTAGTTCTCGCTCTTTTCGGATGATGATGCGAAGAAAGAGCAGATTGATGTGATGTACCCTGATGATTCCTGTCATACCTGTCCCTTCTGGGTGGCATTTGCCTAGAATGTGAACTGGGATGTTCATCGTGTGTCCCATGGTAACCATAACCATTCGATGTAGAACCGTACGAAGCAGAACTCTGGGGAGCCCAGCCGTTCCTAGAACCGTAATCTCCCGTGTAGTAAGACTGAGAGCCGTATTGCGGTTGAAATCTCTGACCATAGGCATCCCCACCGTTAGCAAAATAACCGGGATACGAGCTTGAATATCCCAAAGGAGGTTGACCATTATGAGGAACGTGCCGTTGACTCGGTTGCACCACCAAAGAATTTTGAGGCCTTGAATTTGCTCCATTACCCATTTTCACCCGGAGATGTTACCTTTCAATAGCTTCCCAACTTCTCAAAGAGACAATAGTCGTTATGCCCGTCGAATTAACCAAAACCCTGACCAGACATTTCAATTGCGTGTTCATTTGTGTCACTTGAACATTTGCCACAAAGAGATGAATCAAAACAGTGACCCTTGGAGACCTTCGATTGCGTAGGACTGGGACTAACTGCGCAGATACGCACATCTTTGAAACTTTGATTGATTGCGGGGTTATTGCGGGCTCGCTTATCTTCAAAATTTCCAAAATGGTGGACATTCTTGTTGCTGTGGTGTTGTTTCTTTGGCTTACATATCTATGGGAAAACTATCTAGGATACCGTCAGGTAACTTTATGCGACAGTTTTTGCTGACACACAAATTGAGGGAATCCTGTTGGAATTAGAGATCTTTTGAAGAAACTGTTCAACAAGGAAATAAGTCTTTAATACGTTTTTCCGTTTTTTTACCCACACATGTGCACGTCGTGAATTGCAACATAAAGAGTATTATCGATGCCATAATCTTGTTAAGTTATGAAAGATTAACATTACCCTAATGTAGGACTGTAGTCATTTCAAATAGATGTCTATCTGACACCTTTCCACGAGGTCAATATTCTTAATCTACCGTTGTTTTAAGGCGCACTACTCGGTTGTAAGACGCACCCCAAACTTTTCAAAGCGACTTTTTCAAGTTATCAAACTGAAAAATGAAGCTGAAATATCCAGCTATAAGGCCCAACTGAGATTTTTGGCCATGTTCACCTTCACTACTTTAAAACAACATACTTTCGAACTGTGAAAGGTTTGAACCCAGGAGTCATTTCAAAAGTAGGTTAAGTCTGATCGTCCGGGTGAACGTAGTCCTGAATAGAGCTGTTGTTGTTGACAGTGACTGACATTTTGACAACCTGTGCCGTAGTCATCTTCAGAGTCAAAGTGAGTTGTATCACGTCAGTTGATGGTATCATACTCTGGTTATTGATCTGATTGGTTAAATACGTCGCGATGTTATTGGTCATCTGTCAGTTAAGCCATGATGTTATTGGCTATGAAGACTCGTAATTAGTAATTGGTGCGTTTCGATTGGTCTATTATCACAGTTAAACAGTTGTCTATTGTTAGTCAAATTGTCAGAATCTCCAGTCATTCTCTCATAGTTAGTTTACTTGATCTCGTCAATAAGTCGTTTGTACAGCGCTGGTAACTGTTGGCTACGATTCAGTGGTGTTTGTTCTAAGTTAGTAAACCAGCTTTCTAAAGTAAGACGTTGATAGTAGTCTGTAGAATATGACTGTTATACATGTCGCAGAGTCCCAGTCAATTTGATGTTTCGTCTTTAAATGGTGCTCAGCAATGTGATTGTTGATGTCACCATTCCTCGTCGCGTGTTTGTGTTTGGTCAGTCGCATGCTTAGGTTTCTGCCGGTTTCACCAGTGTAAGAAGCCTGGCAGTCACAGCATTTGATCTTGTACACTGCTCCCTGTCTGTCCTCGGGTTTGTCTTTGTCCTTGACATTAGTAAGCAGTCGCCGTAAAGTGGTTTTTGGTTTGTGTGCAACACGTATATTGTAATGTTGTAATATACATACAATAGTTTCAGAGGTGCCACTGATGTACGCTATAGTCACTGTCGTAACAGGGCCAGAGTTGGTCTGAGTGTTGGAATCAGTGTTACTGTGAGTGTTCCGTCTAACAAAGTCCGTTTTGTAATTGTTCTCACTAAAAACGTTGTTAAGACAAGACGCTACGGAGCTAGCGTACACTTCGGTGTCGTGGTTGTGGAACTAATTAATTGTAAATGCGGAGGAATAGTAAGAAATCAAATATGGTAAGAGTAAGGTGTGAAATTATGGGATTTGTCAGGATATTCTGAAAAGAGCAACATCCAAGAGGCCTACTTGCAAAAAACTAGCATTTCAGGACAAATTGTCTCCGCGATATTAGCCCAGTTATGCTCTGATGACTCCATACAAATCCTTCTAAAAAACAATTCTCTATTTTTCTTAGTCACATCAGGCTTCAAAAACATCATAGCAGTCTCATGTACTGATTAAAGATGTGTAAGGTATGGGTAAGGAGTCAATTACGTGGAGCATGGAATTGGCTAAAACCCAAAGTCACGAGTTTGAATGTTTTAAGGATAATTATTCACTGACTATCAGCACGCAGGGATGTCGGATAAACACAAGGAAGTTTAACACCAAAGGAGCATACCCTTTGCTTGCTTGCTTATTTCGAGCGAACTCGAACTCCATTAACTAGCTTCATCCATTCCTTCCGGTTTTCCATGATGTTCTTCAGTTCAGCTATGCTCAAACCAGTATCATTTTGCAGCTGGTCTATGTATGTTAATGCTGGTCTTCCTCTCTTTCTTGCGCCGTGCTTTGGTTCCCAGAGTAGTAAATCACTTATCACCTCATCCTTTTTTCTCCAACAATGTCCTATAAACCGCAGCCTCCTGATCATCAGTGTATCTGT